ATAATCTTTTATTGTTCATTAAACAAAAAGTAATATAGATTAAAGATATGTGAACATTCATTAAATTTACCCGGAAGGTCCCAACTTTCAATTCGATACACATCCATTGTACTCCAGTTCCATCTCATCCTACAAATCCTAACCCGAATCTTTCTCTGTCCATTAAACCCCTAAAACTCGAAGATGTGCTCTTCAATATCACCTTCTTCGCTTTCATTGCCCTCAAATGTCCCCTTGTTATTTCACCGTCGTTTCAATTTCAGTTTTTATGCAAACCCATATTTAGTCAGGCCCAGAAACTCTAGGACCTTTTCAGTAGCAACTTCGATTGCTGAGAATTTTTCAAGTGTTGAATTGAGTTGGGTTTCTTGGGACAATAATACTCCTGATGAGTTTAATGGTTGGGCCATTCGGGAAGCTGTTCCCAAGACAATAAAGGAGAATAATACAGATTTGATCTTTGAGCTTTTTATGAGCCCTGATGTTGACGGTAAATTTTGGCAATTCGAGGCTGATTATGAAATGTGCTTTTGAAGGTTTGACTACAGCGTTGGTAATTGGCATTGGAGCTTCAGTGACTGCATTGCTTGATTTTATTACCTATTCTTCACTCTTAAGAAAAGGTTGTGTTTTTCTCCTGAAAATGTTATACTTATTTATTGTGACCTACGTTGCTGATTCGGGTTTTTAACTTTACGGAATTTTTATATAACTGGAATTGAATTGCTAGTTTATTTTTCATTTTGGCTTGGTCAGGTTTTAGGTTTCAACTCAGAAGTCCATTTAATGGTTTACATGGGATTTCTCTAATGTCTTCAATTGATGAAATAAACGCTGCTAGTGAAAAGGTTAGTTCCGATGTGTCATTGGGATATGAGGAGTGCCTAAAGACAGTTTAGAGGAAGAGTACGAGGCAGCCAATGACAGCATGACAACAGGTGTATTAATCGACAATTTTTGAAGTTGATTTATTCTGTTATTTTTTATCTTATAATGTGATGGGGGCATCTTGGATCACTCAGTGTAATTGCTATTGCTTAGCTTATAATGTAGTTTCTTGAAACTTGCAAATGCACAGAACAATATGGTTCCAAAGTTGTATTCCTTGTGGATAATCTATTATTGCATTCTGCCTTTATGTTTTGTCTTAGCTAGCTAGTGGCTATTGATTTTTTTACAACTGCATTAATGAAATCTACTTATATGTTTTGCCTGGAAAGAAAATGAACTTAGGAATTAGAACACAAAGAGTTCTTCACAATCATTAGTATTGCTGATTGAAGCAAGAAAGTATTTTTCTAGCTAGTCATTTAATCGCAATTTGAACTTATTACAATTTTATTGAACAATTAGCAATTTGTCATGGCATATTACTTCCTTTCTGGTCTATTTAGTGCTTGTTACTTTTGTTCCCAATCATACATTTAAGTAAAAAAAGTTACTTATTTTTTGAAGTAACTCTTAACTTATTGTAAACATATGTAACTTTCTTATTTCTAACTTTGAGAAATAAAATACTGTTTATTTATTTGTAAGTAAACTTTTTAAGCCTAGCCAAATGTTCTCTTAATGTGCAATGCAATATCCTTCTTGTAAGCTGCGTAGCTAGTTTTCATTTTGACATTTGGTAGTGTTTAGCTTAAAAATACTAATACATTTATCTTGAACGTGAATGCATTGTTTGTTGCTTGTAATTTCATCAGCATTTATTAGTGATTTCAATCTAGATGACATTCATATTGATGCATGTACTGTGTGATGGTCGCTAAAAATATTCGTGCCTTTGAATTACCTTCCTCATATTTAGTGATCCTAGCTAATTTGTTCTTGATTATACTGTCAAGATACGAGCCAT